AAAATAAGTGTCAATATTTGTTCCATTTATACTAACGTGTCATAAATTTAAGGTATTTTTATAAAATCTTATACCATTTTTACGATTCATGTATAATATTGTTATTATTAGGAAAATATGTTTACATATAATGAGTTCTAACTATGAAACAATTTTGTAAGAAAAATATATTTATTTATATACATTTAACTTGGTTAGGAATGTAATAACAATATAACGAAGACAAATATATGATTACAAAAATAACTGATCAATAAAAACTTTTGAACCAATATTTCATAGGTAGTAAAAAATTCCGGGGGCCGCAGTTATACTGTATAATATTTACCGATGTATACGCTGTTGCTCGTCCGCTACGCCGTGTCCTCCTTGCTGTCCGACTCCTTCTAAATTCCAAGTTGGANCCTTGCTGTCCGACTCCTTCTAAATTCCAACTTGGAACTACCTTTGCATTGTCATTAATATAACTGTCGTCATATACGCTATTACTGCACGTCCATTGCGACGTGTTCTTATTGCTGAGGCATGACAACAGCCGCTGGACATAAAAAATGTTTTATACTTTTTTTAGTTCGTAATTGATTAAAAATAACCCCAACATATAAATCGTCAGTCACAAGATCTTCAAAACTACATGCTTCAGATGCCAACCTTTCAGCACTACTAATGATTACAAATAAATTCATTTTTATACTCATGTATGACATACTTGTTAATTAATATTTTCTTTTCTTTATTTTTTTATCTTTCAAATTGTTTCTCCTTGATCATAGGACACTCAGAACATTATTTTTTGTAATATTTTGTGTGTACGTGTGTGTTGCGTATACAGTCATATGGTGTCTTGTTGTGACCGCCCCATTAATATGTGATTGACCGCTAATAAAAATAATTAAACGAGTTCCACGCGACTCGTAAAAACGAGTCAATATTATTCTATTCGCAAATAAAAACGCTCGCTCGAGTATCGTTGATACTAAACTGAACGGTATATTATCGTTTCATTTTCTTTTCTCTATTCTTATTTTTTGTGCTCTTTTGAAGCACCGCAAAGGTGTATACGCGCATACCTTCGCATACACCAAAATTCGCCATCGCCGGGACGAGATAACTTCATTTCCACGCTGTGGAACGCCTTCTGTAACAAGTCTCCTGTAATTCGCAATCCAGCCGTAAACCAGGTCACTGCCATTTGTGGATCTACAGGTCGCCTTTATTATGTTATTTTACATTACTATTAAATTATCAATTAATGTATAACCTATGTATATATTTTAGTACCGTTAAGTTTTACTAACATTAATTTTAGTGACATATTATGTTTGTATAATATTCTTATATAGAAATATTAATATATGAATGTTCTCCATATCTTTTAATAATATTCCATATTCTGTTGTCTACTTTTTGTAGTGTTATCCTTTTAAATTTTAGTTAAAGGAACACTCAAACAGTGTGTGTATTAATGTCAGACACACATACATATTAATTTATAAACTTAGTTATATAACAACTATATTTATATAACAAAAATATTCGTTTTTTAATTTATAAAGAAAAATTTAATATTTCCAACTAATTAACTAGCAAACATATTACAAGTTCCATTCATAACATTATTTAATAAACTTGTTGTAACTACATATATATGATTTTATAATCTTTTTTTACAAAAAAAAAAAATTAATTAAAAGAAGAGTTCATTATTTTAAATATTTATTTTTTATTTCAGATTATAATTTTATGTATAAGAAAAATTGTTTCATTATCAAATCTTTTAGTTAACTATAAATTATAACCCCTTTTTTTTTTTTTGGTTTAAAAGCTTTTTAGGTACTACTGTTTGTTAGCGACAAACAAATTTATTCTATTAAAATGTCTTTATGACTAATAAAATTATATATAATGTATTACGTTTTACCGGTCTACGTGTCGATCAATATAACAATTCAAAGATCAAAATATGAAATCGAAATTCGAAAATTATAACACAAAAATAGTATGTTTATAACTACGGCAACCATATGTACTTAGAAGATAGGTCTTCGGAACAATTTTTTTTTTATACTCACAATACGTAACATGCTTTAATTTAACAAATATTTTAAAACATAGTATTTCCGAAACATTTTCAAATTTTTTAGTTGAAAAAGGTAATTTTTTGGAAAAGTAGCTATTTTGAAACCTCATTTGTAGACAAATAAATGTAACAATTATCTGTTTCAATGGGACATAAATTATTTTTATGGCAATTATAAATTATTTCTTCTGGAACCAACGATTTATAATTTTTAGACAAAAAAATCTTAGTAATAAGATAAACTAGATTAAAAATAACATTAGAAAGAAGATGATAATAAGGTTTAAGTTTCTGTTATAGAAGAAAAAATATTAATGAAAATAGAAGAGGACAACGAAAAAATATATTTAACAAATAAATTAGCTGTGTCATTTACATGAGTATTAGTGATGTCATCATCATTTGGACATAATTATACATAATCGCACACCTTGATCAAGTAACTGATGTTATGCTATTTTCTTATTTAACGATAACATATTATAATAATAATCAAACAATGTGGCATATTTTTAATTTAGATAATTATAGTTGTATTTATTCAGGTATTTGCACTTAAGGAAAACATGAAAATGATTTCTTCTTCGTTCTTTCTTCATCACAAAAAGGACAATGCCCATTACATTGATTACGTAGGTTATTAAAACATCTCTTACAATAAATTTCTGGGCAACGAGATGAATAAGAGTACTTTCCTTTAAAAACTCCACATAAGGTACACAAACGAAAGGGGCCGAAAATAATACCTAAAAAAATTAATAGCATAATTTTTAATTTTATATTTAATATTGATTTTATTATTTAATGCTAATAAGTAAGCAGTCGCATTAGCGTGCGACCACTGTTCGAATGGTCTGAAAAGACAGTCGTGTCATCTTAAAATTTTTTTATGAAAAATAAAAAATATTACATAAGCTTTAATATAAGACATGTATATAATTAACAGTATTTCTGGAACATTTGCAAAAGTTAAATTAAAAAAGTTCATTTTTGTGCAAAAGTTACTAATTTGAAACCCCCCTCTGTGAGCAGGTAAAAGTGTAATCAAAAAATATAATAAATAATTTAAAGTATTTTATATCAATAATTTTTCAGAAAGTAATATTATGTAAAAGAAGTTTAAAAAAATTTCAAAAATTATCAATTTTAAATTATTGTAAAGAAAAATATTGTTTGATTTAAAACACTCAATGCAAATCTGTAGATAGTGTTTAATATTGACACAACTTATATCGCAATGATGTAGTTGACACTGGTTTTGAGGGTAGAGACCCGTGGGCCGTTTATTATTCAACAACAACAGGGTATTAAAGAAACAAACAAAGTTAATAATAATAATCTTCGCATAATATCGCGGCACTTTCACTGGTGTCCGCGTCGCGATGTCCAGCATGATCCTCGGACATCAAAAAGTTAGCAGTGTTGATGACGACGGTGCGCGGGTGCGGATCGATTGATTCGTCGAGTCCGGTCGTCCGGAGTCGATGGCGTACATCCTCGACGTTGTCACTTTGACAACGGGAAGAAAACTCAACGTGTCATTTGCGGCGGGTCGTCGTCGGCCGTGCGGCACTTTCTGGACTTTGCACCGTGGCGTATGGCACGCGGTGTTGGTCAGTCAAATACTCATAGTAGGGCGACGGCTGATAAAGATGGCACGAGTCGCTGGGACATCGTGTACCACGAAGCAACGCGGGACCGTGTCAATATTTAGAATAAATTAATGACTTATTTCAAAAACATCATCTACTACTGTTTCCTTAAATATATCTTGATTAATAGCTCTTTGCTTATTAAATTGTTTAATCTGATACTTTAAATGTAATCGACACTAACTATTTAAAAAAAGTAAAATAAATATGAAGTACCTTTCACTAAGTCTTCTTTGCACAAACATTGAGTACTCAAGTTATTCTTGACACAAAATTTACATAAATCAATACCACAACATTTCATTTTTTCTAACTCATTATCACTTTTAGTTTGATTACAGTTATTGCAAATGCGATTACCTTAGAAAAAAATCCATCTTTAAAAAACATCATTATAAATTGACTAGATATTCAACACCATATTTCGTTAATCTCTAAATTAGTGTCCAATAATTTTAGAACAGTTTACATTAAAAAATAGTAAATTTATTCCAAATAAGAACGATGTGGTTTAAATTTACGTGAGCTACGTTATTTGATTGATTAAATGTATACTATCTGTACACTACCTTTTGTTATAAAATTGACAACCCCTGAAATATAGAACGTCAGTGTACTAAATTACCAGTGGGCGTTCTTAAGAGTATACTACCTAGTCCATCACAGAAATATATAACATTCATTATACCATATTTATCAATAATAATGTAAATAAGCACATAATATTTAAAATATAAAAAAAAATTTCAATGAGGCTAAAAGGTAATTTCTATAAGACTAGTGTGACCAGCTACAATGTATGGTTCAGAATACTAGGCGGTTGACAAGACACTAAGAGAAGAGAAAAAGTATACAGAAAGGGAGAGGTGAAAAGTTTTAAATATTTACAATAAGTTGTGCAAAAATATACCATAAGAATTGATAAGTGCTCTAATCTACTTATTTTCTATAAAATTCCTTTTTAAAGCATACCTTCAAAAATGTAATTCATTTAAATGAGTAGAGTTACGTGGGGTAAATATAAACGAATGATTCAATTATAAATTAATTTTTTCTTTTAGAATATTTTATTAGGATTAATTTTAGATTACTAATATCTGATTGTTTAATATTATGCTATAATATTAAATGTAAGTTCGAGATAATAATTTATGTATTTATCAAATAAAGCACATGTAGCTTTACTTCAATCGTTTATATTTACCTAACTCGCCCTACTAGGTAAATATTTGTGTACAGACTAAATTTTAATATATAAGATAATATACCTTCAATTGGATTTCCGCGACAATTTGGACAACTTAATATATTAAAGCTTATGGATTTATATAAACATTTCTTATGATATATCCCATTACAACATGGATGTTTAAAATCATTAACATTCATTTCATCCTGACATATCACACAAACTAAAAAATATCAATTTATAAAAATAAGAAATTTTAATAACGTTTAATTATATTATTTTATTAATTACACTCATTAATTTATATATAAGATTTCACATAAAACGTATTTAGTAATAATAAACATTTTTATTTAATCTAATTAACCTGACCCTACGTTCCTGCATTTCCTTGCAAAAATCACTCACATGGAATAATTTCTTACACCTGTGTAATGATTATACGTATATTCTATATATAATAATTTAACTGATTCTTTGAATACAACATAATACAATTTAATTAATATATATTCAATTTTATTATATAATAAATAAAAAAGGTATTCCAATAAATAATAAAATTTATGTAGAAATAAATGTACTTTTAAATATAACAATAAAAAATGAAAATATATTTAACTGTAAATTAACTTAATGTTTTAATTGATGAATCATATGTTTACTACCTAAAGTTTTTATGCTTAAATAACTGTTCTAAGGTAATTCAGATACATGTTAAAAGTAACTTAAATGATTGTTAATAAAAAATTAATGGTCACACACTGTTGAGAATTCAATTATTTATAAGTAAATTTATTGTAAGGAAGCTAGATAAAGTGTCATCATCATAGCATCTAAATTACTGATTTTATGATATGTTTGACAAAACACTGCATAGTTTTAAGTTGCAAAATTCATAACAAGATCCTTCCTAACTGTTTTTAATAGAAATTTTTTTTTATATGTTATTGAATAATTGTTATTTGCATTTTCAAATGTCTCTATAAATTGGCCTGTGGTAATGTAGGACAATACTAATAACATCGCAATAAGCAAACATATCAAAAATATGATATTAATTTTATGAATTTCAATAATTTAACATTTACTATTAAGTTTAGATTTATTTTAATGCCTTTGTTTTAATTACTACTCTATTTATTTGAAGGAGACAAATCATTTTGCACAAAAAAAGTCAATAATAGTGATAACTATTATTATTATTATTATTATTACAATTAATATATACATATTTAAACAAATTTTAAGTATTTTACTAATTTGTTCATTAGTGTCTGATAATCCTGTTGCTTCCTCGAGATTATCAGAGCTGGTCAATACCTTTTCACATTTTTGTAAAACAACCAATAATATAATATTTGGAATGAATAATTTCTGAAAAATATTGTTTAATTAATTGTTAGTTGTTTTAAAAGTATAAGGACTATTTGAAAGATTTTCATATGAAGTGTTTTTTTTTTAATAGATGGAAATTACAATTATCCAATTCAAAAGATATAAATGATGCAAAAACAAACGCTAATGTACATTTGCGATTAGATCCGATTCAATGCTTATTACCAAATCCGTATGACTTTAACAGAAAATTATAAACATTTTTATAGTTCATTGGACTTTATACCATCTGAGAACATTATTAAATTTGAAGTCATGACTTATGGTAGAGAAACCAAGAAAAATAACAGCGAAAAAAATGCATTCGTTGCAAATATTTCGTTCATAATACAAAAACAAAAATCCAGCATAGTGGGGATGTGACATAGTTGGATCAAGATAATTATATCTGACAACGACTAAAATCACTTTCATAAAAAACACTTCAATGTTAATCTGTAGATAGTGATTAACTTTAAAAAATTGGTGGATTATTCCAAAAGCTACATGATCTTTTATTTCTTTATTTATATTCAGATTTGAAGTTTTATGATTTATAAGTGTAATATATGAATCTCGCCATCAGGCGGGCCAAAGCGAAGTGCTGGGCCGAACTCGTGAAGTCGGTGGACCACGACCCGTGGGGGAAACCCTACCGGGTCGTTATGCGGAAGCTCCGCGGTTCACCGGCTTCCGGTCAGCTGGAGACGGAATTGTTGGAAAGGGCGGTAGACACGCTCTTTCAGACACACCCGCCTCTGCCTCCCCCTGCGTTCGGGGACGACGTGTCGGTGGAGGAATTCACCACCCAGGAAGTGGCCGACGCGGTGGCGCGCGTACGGGGCCGGAACACAGCTCCCGGCCCTGACGCGATTCCAAACCGGGTGTGGGGGTTGGTAAACGACCTCGCCCCGGACTGGATACGCGCCGTCGCGAACCGCTGCCTCTCGGAGGGTGAATTCCCCACGAAGTGGAAGAAGGCCAGGCTGGTGCTTCTGAGAAAGGGTGACAAGCCCGAGGGTCTCCCCTCGTCGTACCGACCGCTTTGCATGTTGGACGACTTGGGGAAGATCCTCGAGCGGCTGCTCGTCACCCGGATCGAAGCCCACCTGGCCGACGTCGGCGGACTGGCCGAGGGCCAGT